ACGTTTATTTTTTTCTTTTATTGCAACTCAATGTAGTCAACAAGAAGTTATTTAACAAAAAAAAATGTTTTTTTTTTATTATGTTCATATTCCTTTGGGTAGTAAAAACAAGTTTGATTTGACGGGATTCTGATTATGTCAAACCCATCAACACTGCCTCTTGATAGTTGGTTCCTCAAAGGTTCGAGCAAGAAACACATTCCTTGTAACTTAAAATGTCGGAAACCACCTAATATAACTTACCTGTCAGGAGAGTTCAGTGGAAGAACTTTTCAGAATGCATACTCTATGATAATTTCCTGGGCCCATTAAGTGCAATACAGTATATATATATATATATATATATATATATATATATATATATATATATATATATATATATATATATATATATATATATATATATATATACACACTAATAGATGTGAGGAAATATGAGGTGTTATCTTTAGTTTACAATAAAGCGAGATGTGATTTTCAGTAATTTTGTTTGAAAGGCATATCGGCATTAGCTTACGTCATATGCTTCTGTTAGTATAACAAAACAGGTTGGGTAAAACTTAAATATTAGTCTTGACTGTTTGTTCCTAATTTCGTGGAAGCTGCTGGAGATGAACACACAGCATAACTCGGTTCCTATGTTTCAACCCCAGCTTCAACGCCTGAGCTCCCATCATAATATACACTCAAGCAAAATTATACTACTTGCATAAAATTTTCATTAATTAATCTCAAAGTACAACTACATAAGTACCACTTCAAACATTTGGTGTACTTACTGGTATATTATAAGGGGTTTTATTACTGCCACTTAATTTGACTGCAAGCAATTTCCTTTGGTTTATATATATATACACTTTATGCATCATTATCAAAATTAGTTTTTGGTTGAACACAGAAGGAAGAAGCATGTTATTATATCTCTAAACCTGATACACATCCCACGTAGGTAAAAATTCCTGCCGAAACGTTTGGGTGGACCCTGACCAGTCTTGGTGGCATGACAACATAACAAGCGTGTAAGCCGAGTGGATAGCCCTAATGTCACTGACCTCTCCAAGCACTTGACAACCTGAGAACGAAAATTCCATGTTACAAACTACCAAGCTAAATACTCGATTAATATGCAGTCTACAATTTTCTCTTTTTTTTTTTACGAAATATCGTGATAACACCAGCTTTGTAAATTCAATCACATTCGCAACTATGGGCCTATACTATTATCACGTAATGCGAATACATGCTTCACTTGCTCACAGTACTTGGTAAAATAAACTTGACATTACCACACATACAACACCCACACCCGTTACCTGACATCACGACCCCGCAACGGCTACACCCTCCATTCATTCATTCGTATATTACCCACAATGAAAATGTATTCCAGTCCAACTATTTCCCGATTATTCTTATTCCCACTCGCAGTACTTTACCGACAGGGACAACTGTGTAGCTGCACCTGATTGTCATTATCACGTTATACATTTTCATATTGTACTGTATACTAGCGGATGGTTGACGCAGGAATGCACACTCCCCTACCAAAGTCTTAAACTTGACATACTTCCCTTCTTACTAAGTAGCTTCATATCCTGCGCCCCCTTGAACTACTACTGTACACTCGTGCATCGTTATACTGTATTACATCAATAGTATCCACCTCCAGGTTCATATTAGTTATTTTACCTGTCCGTTTTATTTACATGTAATTTCGGTATACAATATTCTAGTCATTAGGGCATCCCATAATTTACGACACTGCTGATTATTTCTTAGGCCAATGCAAGCCCCTCTGTACCCAAGAAACAGTTTGACTCCTACTGTCCTGTGACCTAACCGAGAAAATCAATGATCTGCCTTCTGATTAATCGAATATATTTGGGGCAGAGCGACCCTATCATACTAATGCTACACTATACAATTACCGAATTACCACGCTATACAAAATCACAACTTATACCATATCACTAATTTTATGTGTAACTATTAGAGGTGGCTTCTAACTCCCGTTTTTCTGCTATTGTGGGAGGATCACACACACTATTAGCTACTATGTTCTAGTCACTTGGAAACAAGTCTAACAATCATCCATTTTTAATGTCACCTTCGTTGGTGCACTCCAAGGTGGCTCTGAAAGCCGATACACACACTGTAGCTTCCACAATCGCCAATCCCTAAATCATCAGTACCGTACATCCACTAACTCTCACTTCAAACGTTTGTAAGTGTTCGCAAACATTACTAGTTACCGGTAGTTCCTTCGTGCATCCCCTCCACAATCCTGTCACTCACAAGCTTACATCCTTTGTAGTTTCCAATCATCTGCATCTATTAATTCCCTGTCATATCCCTCACTCATTTCAATCCATTCGTGACACACTACAGCAAGCACGACCCTCCCCAGGGGATAATGCCTCGATAAGGCAATATCCTTGACTGTACACTTCAGGGTGGAGTAAAATGCTCACTCTTTATATAAATATTAACATAATGGTCATCAGTGGCTGTGTACAAATGATCATTTTGAAAAAAAATCGGAATACAATGATTGTGAAACTAAGAGTGTTGACACGTGCCATAAATTTAACTTAATGAACAGTGATTTCAACGTTTTAACAGTGACTGTTGGGGTGATACGGTAGCATTACTGAAGGATTAAAGCAAAAACGATTGATTGTGTACTTCAGTAGTTTAAAAACTTATATTTTCGAAAAATATTACGCATCACACGCTCTACCAGACCTAAAGACTTTGGGTCTGTACTTCGACCAAACAGATCTAGTGTGTGCTAAGGTTGTTTATCTATTAGACTACCTACACTGGCTATTGTTTACCCGGATCTTGTCAAAATAAACAGTGTGCAGGTCCTGGATCGCTAACCAATAACGTAACGATTATAACTATAATCATATGCAAAGTGAAGAGTTGCCTCATGTATTATCCGAATGATCATGTGGCGTAAGTGCCTCTGGGATGACTGGTCTGTCATAAAAGGATTACAAAGGTTAGGAAAACGTGGGAAAAGATAGGTTAATGAGCAGCTTAACTCCGCCACTCTATTTCTTAGTAAGTAAATATACCTTCATTGGTGTGCTTGCTTTAATGCACAGAACAAAAAAATCAGGGGGAGAAGAAAAAGGAGTCGTTTACCTGGACTGTCTCGGCACACAGGAAACTATATCTACATTGTCTATATTCATGCTGAACTTTAAAACTGGATTGTTTATAAACATGATTATCCAATTGTAAACCCGTTAAGACAAATTACTGAATAAATATTATTATTATTGTCGAACCTCCCCTTTAACAGTGTTAGGGTACGGTAGTTTTCATTACGTTAATTTAAGTTTTGATGGTTCATGAGGTCTGTTTCATTTTGTTTTCCATTTTCCCAATTAGATTTGCATCTCAAACACTAAAACTATCATATCAGTGCAGATCCATCTAAAAATAACGAAATCAAAGTAATAAAAAAAAAAAAAGATTGTTTAAGTAACTGCACATCGTCTCCCTGCTTAGCGTACTGTACGTTGTGTCAACTTTAATGACCACGGGTTCACAGCCTTGTCTGTCACACACATAAGAACATAAGAATGGAGGACACTGCAGCGGGCCTATTGGCCCATACTGAGCAGTCCCATTTACACCCAACCCTTTTTGCTCATATAAGCATCCAACCTATGTTTGAAGCTATCCAGCGTATTCGAGTTGATGATGATATTTGGTAACTTGTTCCATTCATCCACTACTCTGTTTCCAAACCAGTGTTCACCTATATCGCGCCTAAATCTAAATTTGTCTAATTTAAAACCATTGTTACGAGTTCGCTCCTGGTGATACCAGAAGCTTCAACATAGATCTACAAGTAATTTAATAACCACATATACCACAACTCATCTGCTTCACAAATATATAATAAACTACTTTCACTCAGCACACACATTCATAATTAACAACATACCCCACCATTTACTATGACTTACAATCACACTCGGGCAATTTCACCTGCTCAATTACCATTAACCAGTCTTGCAACACCATCAACCACAACTCTCCCTTCAATACTCACTAACAAGCAGACCTCTCCATACACACACACACTGGAAACAAGTGGTACAAGGAGATACTTATAATGAAAAGGGTGAAATTGAATCATCATTCACAATTTGCATGACTTGTCCTATCAATACATTTGTCATTATAAGAGTATTAAATTTTCGACAATGAATCACTACCCACACTCGCCTGTACACCAGCAGGACCGGGGCGAGGAGTGGGTTAGTCCTCGTGGAGTTAACTTCAGTCTGCATTGGGTGAATGAGTTGCCATTTCACAATTATTCCAGAGTAATGAACACCCAAAGGCTTTTTCATATACTGCAGTCGCCTAGTTGGTCTTTAGTAAATAAACACCAGAGGCAAGACATAAAACAAAGATATATAATGCACGGCTTAGCTGAACACCTTAAGTTATATTAATTAAAAATATATATTAACTGGTTATCATTTTCAAATAATTTTCCTTCCCCCCAGACGCCTGAGAGACGCAGTCTGAAACATATTTAGTCGCCGAAACTACCATCCTTTCTGTCCTCCCCAGTTCATCAATCTATTTCACATCCTACACGGCTTTACTCACATTACAAGTTGCGTTATTAAAACAAACATGGTAAGGTATTTAAGGTGCACCTGGCCAGGACAGTAGACTAAACTGAGGGCGTGTTGTGTGGGGAGGGGTGGGGCCGGGGAGACGGTTAACCCACCATTCAATCTACACCTTTGCTAAAATCCTGACTATTAGCACAAAATCACGTCACACTATATCACATTTTTAATGGAACACTAACCTCAATACCTACAAACACATAGTCACGTTGAACACAAGTTAAAATATCGCCTATCAGTGAAGTGGCGGGACGAAAAATAAGGAACATGAAAAGCGTGGAGGGAGCAGCCACCGCCAACATCTGTGGCACTCAGCCGGTCTTTCCTACTCACCTCAACTTCCGTCGATTTTCCGTCCTCTGATGGTATCTTCCCACACCGTTTTGACTTGAAAGTTCTTGTCACACTGAATAATCCCTGGACACCAGTTTCAAATATTCCCACACAAAGGTAAAATACTTTTTGAAACACTATGTTGCGTGGGAATACCAAATTTCTTACAATATTTCACCACTAAACAGACAAGTGAAACAGTCTGTATTAAGTGTTTGAGAGAATCACAGAGGCAACGGATTCCCCAAAAGAAGAATCCACTGTCAGAGGGAGGCCAGTGCGGGAAACAGCGGAGCGCACGAGAGTAACATCAACCCACCACGGTAGACCCCCGCACACTGACGACTCACGCCGTCGCTTCTTTCATTTAGTCATGAGGCGGTCGCTTCCCGCGCAAGGTCCTTCTGTCGCCGGTTTGTGTATTAAAAGACTACTTAAAATACATTATTGCATATTACTCATTACAGTTTATAAAGAGTAATATATTCTAACATTTCATTACAAGTACTGTAGTAAAAAATTTGACTGTTTCAATGTAAACACATGAATCTATGTTTATAAATTTTACTATTAGGATGTTTTTCTGTAACTAGCTACCACCGCTATGGTAGACGCCGGAGTGAAAAAAGACGGTCACTGCGAGGATAATACAAGGTCAATTTACCTGAGGCAAAAAACAGAGAAGCGTGTACGCCCATCTTTGGGAAGATGAAAAAAAAATCTAACCTTGCGACAATTTTTTTTTTTTTTTACACAAGGATACTGCAGCTGGGCCGTGTTAACAGAATAAAACCAGAGTAAAAAGTGTAAGGCAGGAGACCAGTTCTGCTTGAAACTTGAATATATGAAGCACACTGCCTCGCTGTTACTGCTTCGTAACACCAACCTCCTCCCTCCCGGAACCCCCCAGCTTCCCCCACCCCACCTCCTGCTCAACACTGAACTCCCAGCCACCACACCCCTTCCCCAGCCAATCAAAGCTCCTCCTCGCCCACCACACTCCCACCTCACTCTACACCCGTCCAAACGCACCTCACCCTTGCTCCCCTTCCCCTCCCACTGTGTGTTCATCAGAGGAGCAAACAAATACATTATGAGCAAGGAGCTGCCTTAATAACCGTGGCAGCTGAGGCAACTTAAAAAGAAACACCAATGATGCAACCATCAGTAAGCACGAGCCAGTAGACAAGTACAACTGTGGAGCTCATAATAAGCTCGGGCTTATTCCACACCCTCCTTACACCTCACACTCTTCCCTCATACCCATCACTCCTCCCTCGTACCTTTCTCCACTCCACTTCCTGCCAATGTAAACTCTGAGTACTTTTGACGGTAGGTCTCAAAAAATATTTTAAAAGTAAACTCTTTATGTCATAGATACTGTACAGTATATTAAATTATGGTTGTCCCTCGTGTTGGAGGCTTGTCGGCCCTAAGGCCATGTATGCATTTATTTGTTTAAAGTGTAGAGGCTGTCGCCAACACAACAACACTCTGATTTAACGAGTTGTACTGTCTGACCAAGTATCAAGGAATAACCCAAGAATACTGGACAACTCGTCGACTAAACTGGCTAACCATTATCCCGGTACATAGCCTAGCAATCGATTAACATCCAGGTTCCCGATTATTGCTGAGTAGACTAATGGCGTAAGCAAACTTGCCTACTGTTTCACCAAGCTCAGGATCGAACCAGGAACCATTCGCTTGCGGGTAGAATATGCCGACCACTACGAAAAAGGTAGTATTACTAGGAAATACATACATAAATAACTATTGTGTACTGCTAAATGTTGAGAAGGAAACGGGTAAAAGATTTTTTCCTTAACTATTGCTTTATGTTAAATGTTAACTTCTGAAACTGACCTCAGCTGAAAAGTGGTTTTGTGACGCACTGTAAAAACTAATTTCATTTTAATAATAATAATAATAATTAACGGTTTATTGAAAGAGCATAGCAGCCAGAAGGCTGAAAATATACAGTTACATAATTGGGGAATGGGTTTCGATTTACAAATAATATACAAATAACATAAGTGATACAAATAATATATATAATAACTAGATGGGGAAAAGCTCAAACTACAGGGCATTTCAACATAGTGACAGTGCAAGAAGTAGGATTTACTGGGAGTGAATACACTGGTTTATTACAAGTCATTGATAATTTTTACAATGGTTGGGACTGGGCTGTTCTTATAGCACAGTACATGACACTTGCTCCACATGACACTTGCTCCACATGACACTTATTTTCACTTGACAGAACACGACCATCAAGATACTTACATGGAGAGAAAGAGAGCGTGATACATAATGTACAGAGAGAGAGAGAGAGAGAGAGAGAGAGAGAGAGAGAGAGAGAGAGAGAGAGAGAGACCACCAAGTCGTCAAGGTAGTAAAACTCTGACAGCCCTCCTCCTCACACACTCACGGAAGGCTACTGACTATACCAGTTCTCCCTGATAACATTCACGTAAAAACACCAATAAGCGGATACACACACACACTTCTTGTATAACCCAGCAATAAAATACCCCCCATGTCAAAGTGAGTCCCTCCTCCCCACATAGACCTACCCTGAACCAAGGTGGTCTTCTACGTTCGTTTTCTGCTGAAACATTTCCTTGAATTATAAAAAAAAAGGAAGTTGACTTTTTGTTTGTTATACCGTTTGTGTGTGCGTTAATATTTTCCTCCCCCTCAAAAAAATGCAGAAATATATGATAATTAAAAGTAAATTACAATTTTTCTTGACTTTAAAACCTTGAGTTATTTAAGTTAGTTTTCATTCATCTGTATTGGTCTTATTGCCAGGATATCTCCAACAATAATTTCCAACACTATCTTCAAATATAATATGATAAAAAAAAATATATACATATTTGCGAATATTGTAGAAGACTCAAGTGACATCAAGTCCAGGCTAGACCAGTACAGACCATATGTTCTGGTACACATTAGGTCAAAATTCCCTGAACACTTTTGGCAATATTAATTATCTACTCGAGAACCCTGAAATTAACGATAAATTGAGATTTTTTATTTAGTCTTAATTATTTTTCGCATTATTAATTTTTTCATTTTCTTTAATTTGACGTAATATACAATTAAAAACGCGTTCATCAGATCCAAAATTATCACATATAAAACTTGCACATACATACACTAACTTTTATGTCACTTTCGGTCGCTAAGGTAATTAAGTCCGGATGCTTCAATGGCTATGGTAATTAAGGGCAGGTGCTTCAATGATTCGGGTAATTAAGGGCAGGGGCTTTAATGATTAGGATAATTAAGGCCAGGTGCTTCAATGATTAGAGTAATTAAGGCCAAGTGGTTCAATGGTTAAGGTAATTAAGTCCAGGTGCTTCAATGGCTTGGGTAATTACGTCCAGGTACCTTAATGGCTAAGGTAAATAAGTCCAAGTGCTTCATTGGTTAGGGTAATTAAGGCCAGGTGCTTCAATGGCTAGGATAATTAAGGCCAGGTGCTTCAATGGCTAGGATAACGAAACCCCACTCACCATGTATCACTTTCTGCATTGTGCTACATGATGGCATTTCCTTCAGTGAATAACAGTTATGTTCACCAGGCTTCACACTACACGAAGACACGCTAGACTAGAAGGTCGTCTGCATTACACCCATGACGAGATTAAAGTCCTCATTATGACTGGCTGTGTGTGTGTGTCCGGGCATCTACACACTGGAGACACGATAACTTATAGAGAAATATATCCATACATTTCGTTGGAACACAATATCAGACGATTAAATTTTCTACCAAGACACAAACAATCAATGAATCAATCAACTCTGCCACAAGAAACCAGACACAGACCAAGGATATTATCTCCTCTCACAGGTTACTTGAGACAGACATACCACCAAATCAATTAGTTGTTGTTTTTGTTTGTTTTTTAAGGTTTGTTCTTGTTGAAGTGTTGAGGTTGTGTATTCGGTAGGAGGCTAGTGATGCTATTATATGTACTCAGGACTAGTGATGTTATTACATGTACTCAGGACTAGTGATGTTATTACACGTACCTGTACTGTACTCAGGGCTAGTGGTACTACTGCACGCACTCAAGGCTCTGTTGCTGCTGTGTGTACATCTCGATCTGCACAATGCTAGTCTAGTCGTCTTAAGTTGAAAATCTGTCTTTACTATTATATCTCACAAGTTATATATATAAAAAACTGGAGATTATTGGAGACAGATCTTTTGTTGACTTCAAATACAAAAGCTAGAAATCAAGAGCTCTCCCCGATACGTTCTTCGTGAATACAGTGAACTTCCCTCCAGCTAAGTTGTATCGATCGTCGCCAGTTATAAACGAGGAATGGCCATGATAGAGGACCTTTGAGAAACATATCCCAGCGAGATGAGACTGGGGTCATCTCTCATCCTGTCACTTATATTTCAAAACAATGTTGACCCTCATGCGGGGGAAAAGACAAAAAAATATATATCTCTACTGACTTTAACTCTGACGCTATAGAACACAATGAAAAAAAAGTATCCAATGAATTTCAAAATGAACACCGCGACTCCTGTTGTCTCGGTAGGGTTGTCAAAATCCTTCGTTCGTTGTCATATTACCTAACACAAAATTGTAGAGATACTTATTGGAACATGGTGTTAGGCTTTGTAAAGTAGTCAGACTCACTCTAGCCGTGTTTACTGTGGGGTGGTAAGCGAGTCCAAGTTGTGTTTACCTGACGCTTGTGAACAACAGTGCGGTCGTCCATCTTGTCTCACTTCATCCTGGACCAATTATACCCGACCAATATTACCTTACGTTATATCATTTCACATCAAGTGTCTTAGGTCATATAAGGTTAGGCTTTGTTAGGTTAGGTTAGGCTTGGTTAGGTTTAAGATAGGTTAGGTTATGATAGGTTTAAGATAGGTTATGTTATGCTAGATTAAGATAGGTTAGGTTATGCTAGATTAAGATAGGTTAGGTTATGCTAGGTTAGGTTTAAGATAGGTTAGGTTACGCAAGGTTAAGATTGATTAGGTTATGCGAGGTTAAGATAAATTAGGTTATACTAGGTTGATAGGTTAGGTTATGCTAGGTTGATAGGTTAGGTTATGCTAGGTTGATAGGTTAGGTTATGCTAGGTTGATAGGTTAGGTTATGCTCGGTTGATAGGTTAGGTTATGCTCGGTTGATAGGTTAGGTTATGCTCGGTTGATAGGTTAGGTTATGCTCGGTTGATAGGTTAGGTTATGCTCGGTGGTTGATTGTTAGGTTGATTGTCGGTTGATAGGTTAGGTTATGCTCGGTGATAGGTTAGGTTATGCTCGGTTGATGGGTTAGGTTATGCTGGTGAT